TGAAGGTCATTCCCATAATCCCAAAGGCACCTATACAGCTTTCCCTCAGAACTGAATGTAGAAAAAGATTCTAACCAGCCTATTCTGAAAGGATGTTCTTTTTTAAAAGCACAGCTTAGAGAAACATGGCCACAGACTTTGTTACTTTCCTCTACCAATGCAGACACTGCCACCAAGGACCAGGGCCTCTGCAGTCTCTCTCCAGATGACAGCCAACAGGCAGGTCTAGCATACTTATGGTGGGAATGAAGCTTTCCTGGATTTTGAGCCAACAAGGAGAGGGAGGCATTCACATCACTGTCTCTGGGCTCCTGGTCACACTAAGCTGGGCTGCGGCTCTGATAATGCCTCTCTCCAGCAGCCCCTAGGCTCAGGGAAACTGTAGGTCCCTCTCCAGGTCACCTCCAAGGAACGCTGGTGGCAAGTTTCACCATGGAAAATGTTGTCAAGGCTAGAGCTGACACCAAAGGGGAGAGTACCCTATCTACCTCTACATCCCTTCAGGGATGGCTGGGGTTAAAACCTTCAGCAGGGGGTTAAAACTATAGTGATGCAGCAGAAGCGGAGGAAGGCCATACTCTGAGGCAGTGGTTGGGTGACGAAAGGGAAACCAGGTTCTGCCAGGAACACGTGACTCAGGACAAGTCATCACCAAGGCTCTAGGAATATTTTCCACAAAACCAGAAGGTTGGACTGGTCCATCATTCAGTCATATTCCCAATTCTTAAGCACTCTTAGCAAGTCAAGGTACAGGAGCTGCTACTTTTTGCTTGTCTGCTCCCCTATTAGACTAAAAGTGTCCTCAAATACCAGGAGAGCATCCTACCTACCTCAGAATCCTTGCCAGAGTGGCTGCCACTAGGAGCTCAGCAAGCAAATCAGTAATAACTGGAGGTTCCTCAAAAGGACCTGATCTGTGAGCACGGATGGCACCTCTCTCCTTTCCCAGCAGTTCCACTATCCAGATGCTCCGGGGGGCATGGGGAGGGGGGGCCACAAGGAGAGCTCAGGTCCTCCACAGAGCAGGGTTCTGACCTCTGCCACAGCTGAGCTGAGTGAAGGTAAAGCCTGCATGATCTTCCAGTAGCCGCAGCCACTATCCCCCCAACAGGCACCTCCTGGCAACTCCTCAGGAAAATAGCCAGTGCGTAGACACTGCACTTACCACAGCTCCCCAGCATCCCCTTCCCAGCAAGGCCTATGGGCGAAGTCTTTTGTGGACCTTTTCTCCAGGTCAGCTTGCTTAGGAAGGACTTTCCTCTAGAAGAGCACAAGGTGGGGAGACCAGGCATAGCAAGAGCTGTCTCTGGAAATTACTAGCAGGCTGGCAGAAAAGGGGAAAGCTACAGTGTCTACAAAACATGAATCTCCATAAGGTACCCCTGCCTCCCCAGTGCCCAATACAGACTTGGCCCAAAGAAGATGAGTAAATGAGAGAATGAACTGGTGTGGGGCTCCAGGCCCAGCCGTGAGGCCAGCTAGGTGTCCTTATGTGAGCACATCTGGGGAATGAGAACATTTTATCCTGCCTCGGTGGAGTTCTCAGACCCCTAGGAGGGTCTGATGAAGATGGGGTACCAGGTTCTGCTGGAATGAAGTACCCTCACAAGTTCTGTTTATAGATTCAGAACCTGAGTTCAAATTTTATCTCCCCCCACCCCTACCACCACCACCATGTAGAAAGAAAAACTGTGCGTGTGATAAACATTGGTAGATTTCCAGGAGAAAATCATCTGATTGAGAAGAGTCCCGCACACTGGCTGGCAGGTAGGAGGTAAACATTAAAACTTGGCTCCTTCCACTCTTTCGGATCTAAACTGGACCACTACATGGAGAAAGTCATCACAGGCAGCCAGACATGGCTAACCGCTGCACACCATCACAATCTGTAATCGCAGGCACCAGCAGCTGGGCCCAGGGTCAGGGACTTGCAGGGGCATCTCACGTGATGTTTTTCCCACTCAGCACTTATTTAATGAAGGCCAGAGTGGGCTGGGATTCCTAAGACTTTGGGAGAAGTCTGGAGCAGTTGCGTAAGCCAAGCCCGCTGGTCAGCCCCTTCTTCAAAAGCCAGGAATCCAGTGTTGCAAGCATAGTCTCTGGAGGCCCTGGCCTGGTATGTGAGAGGAGCCTGCAGAACAGGAAAGAAAGCCAGAGTGGACATCACCACTGCCTCATGTGACCTCACCACATGCTGCTGGGATGGTTTCCTGGCCTGTATCATCAGCCTCTCAGAAATAAGAGCCAGCTGTAGAAGTGGCCCTGTGGCATAAATGGCATTGGACACCCACTAGGGAAAGTGCATAGGCAGAACCTCTTCTAGGAAGAATGCAGACTTACAGACTCACGATAACACTGTAAGTTTAAGCAGTCTCATCCCCATGTTACAGATGGAGAAGCTTGAAATTCAAAAGTCTTGGGACTTGCCCGAGGCTACACAGAACTGGGACCCAAAACCAAAGCCATGGGCTTTTCTTCTGCTACACTAAGCCCCTTAATCATCGGGATTCTTTGAGTAATAAATCTGCCCTCTATTTTATCAGTTTGGTAAAACTGGACTTTAGAACCATTCTTAAACAGGGAATATTCTTTAAAACTTTTTTTTCTTGTTTTTTAAATTAAATTTATTGGGGTGACATTGGTTAATAACACATAAATTTCAGGTGTACGACTATATAACACACCTGTAAACTCTATTATGTGCTCACCACTCAAGGTCTAGTCTCCTTCTGACCCCCCTTTAACCCTCTTCGTCCTCTCCCAACAACTCTTCCCCTCTGGTAACCATCATTCTGTTTTCTGTATCTACGAATTTGTATATTAAACAGGGATATTCTTAACCAGGGGTTGTATAACAAACATTGATTCAGCCCAATTGAGGCTCCTTCACCAAATCACACAATTTAGAACCAAAAGAGCCCACAGAGACCCACTCTAGCCTCCCTGTTCAGGTGAGGAGGCTGGCGTCTCCAGGGTGAAGTGATTCATCCAAACTAGCTTCTGAGGTCGAAATTACCATCCCTAAAACAACCCGGGTCCCTCTTTCTCAGGGAGTAGGGCGGACCTTAATCCACATAACAATGGAGAAGATAGGAGCTGGGTATTGGTCCCCAGTTACAATGCAAATCCCCTTCCAAAGCTGGCCTTTGGGAGGGTTTCTGGCTGCCAACATAATCATCCAATAAACACTCAGGAGGGAGGCCACTGCAGGAACCAGCTGAGAGACCTAAATAGCTGGATGCTCTGGGGTGTCATGATGCCACTCCTTCATCAAAATGAGTGACTTTGGAAATCAGGGTATCAAGAGGGCAAAGTATCATTTTCAGAAAACAAACAGCAAACAGTTCTCCTGTATCCACTCTGCAAACCAGGAGCACTTCAAAACTACATGGGGACAATCTGAGAGAGGCCAACACAGAGCAAGTTCTCTCATCCCAACAACATAGCAGTCCAACCAGACACATGCTGCTGGACAATGACCCCTCCTCCCAGAATTAAGCCACACAGGCTCCCTATTGTGTCAGTTTAAAAAACTGAACTTTGCTGGGCAAACACACTGGGCTATGTTCAAGAAACCAGTTTCTGTCTCCACTTGGAAAACAGAAGCATGCCTGCAGAAGGGACAGTTATGGCGGGAGGTTGGGGGCAGGTTGACTGGTTGGTTTTTTAAGCAAAGCCCTGGTCAGTACTGCTACAGCAACTGTAACAAAAATAATAGCCAGAACTGATTGGATGCTTCCAATGTCCCTGGTTTTATAGCTTAAGAAAATAAAACCAAAGGAGAGAAGTCACCCCTGAGCATTTTATATCAAACAAGGAATCACATTTGTGGTGTGCACAGAAGATTGGGTCTTGTAGTAATTACCACAAATCACCAGCTAGCCCTATGACAGCTGGCAAAGGCAATTAGCAATGGTGGGGGGGGGGCGGGGATTAAGGTTCTAATAAAACAAAATATCCCCAGATCTACAGAAGGCCAGATGTGGCAATGCAATGTAGAGCCCCTTCTTCAAGTCCAAGTTAGCTATTAACTGGTCTCTGGAATTCCACAGCCTTCCCAGCCTCTGGACAAAAGCAAGTTGGGAATGCACTAGTTTCTCACTATTGTGTATGAAGGAAGGGGAGACTCCCCCCTTCGAGCATCCAACAACACTTTTGGCTGCTTCTTCCAAATCCTTTTAATACTGCACTTCCCAGCTATAATTTGAGAGAGGGGGGCGGGCATATCTTATTTCTTCTTTACACTAGAGGCTGTCTCCACCAGGAGCCCTTAAATAGTGTCATCTTCTCACCAAAGGCTTGTTCCCCAGCATAATCCTTCCTAAGCCAAAATCCAATGTTTGAAAGGGAGTGGGGAGAGTCGATACGAGCAGTGAAACGCTGTGGCAGTGCGAAAGGAAAGCACCAAATGCCTGAAGAGCAAAAATGCAGTTTCAGCAAACACTTTTTGAAAAGCGGCAGACAAGAACCTGGAGGAGAGGAAGGGAAGGGACAAGACAGGGTCTGGGGCTTGAGGGGAAAGCAGGGGACGACGGGCCTCTGCTCACACTTCAAAGGGACCTACCCCGGCCCCGCCACCTCAGCCTACGGCTAAGTCACACAGGGAAAAGTCCAGCGTGTGACTCAGTGGGAGAATGCATCCTGAGGCCCGGCAAGCTGGAAATGGGGTGGGAGCAGAGGTGGGAAAGCAGGGGATGTCCACGCGCAGCCCACCCGCAGCCCACCCGCTCTCTGAGCCTCCATCCCAGTTCTCACTCCGCCCCTCCCCCCAAAACTCGTCCAAGGTGAGAGGCTGGTCCAGGATCCTCAAGCTGCAGCATCAGAGAGTGGAGGCGGGAGAGGAAGCCTCAAAGGGGGCGACCCAGGCTCAAGGATACAACTGAGAAAGGAGTGAACTGGGGCAGAGAAGGAAGTGTTGGGGGCCGCTTCCCAGGCCGCAGACCCCAGGCTCCTCAGGCCCAGCCTGGGTCCCCTACCCTCCAGCGTTGCGGCCGCCTTACCTCCAGGGTCCTGATCTCCTGCTGGGTGAGGTCGTTAGACACGGCGCATTTGGTGCGCAGCCCGCGCAGGCTGCTGATGGAGATATCAATGAGCTTCTGGAGCTGCCCGCACTGCTGCAGCGCCCGGCTGGCC